AGCACTCATATTCCACCATCCTGTGACCTGGCTTTCTCTTTCACTTTATAGATATGGGACCTCCACACATGGACTTTTTAAGAAGCTGGGAATTCCTGGGCCAACACCTTGGCCTTTTGTGGGAACTGCTCTGGCCTACCGTAAGGTGAGTGTTGCTTGAGCTCCCTCTTTTGCTTCTTATGATTGTCAATCCCAGCTTAGTTTCATTGTAAATATGCTCCTCCTGAGGAGGAAGTGCTTAGGAAGCTCAGCCTTCCCAGAAGTGGTGTCACAGGCCCCACCCAGCACCTGGCCAGTTCTACCCCCGGGCTCTAGTGTCTGCTGTCAGGAGCCTCAGGGTTTGCCTCAGTGGGCAGCCCCAGCTCTCTGGCTGCTTCAACCCAGGACTTGATGTTCTAGCTTGTGAGCATCGAGAAGAGGCTTTTGTTTCTGGCAGGTGCAGATTCACAGGAAGGCATCATTGTATTGGGTATTAGGAGAAGAGCATCAAGGGGGTCCACGCTAGTGGTCCATTAAGCTGTGTATGCTAGAGTCAGACCTTTCTGTTCATAGTACAAGCTCTGGCTAGCCTTTTGTTTTGCTGGATAGCTCTGGAACTTCAGTTTATTGGGCATTCCAAATTCACCTTTAGGGAATTTGCACATACTTGAATTCTCTCAAAAATTGCCAACCCCCTGCATTTATTTCCAAGCTCTAACTCACCCTTTGCTAATGGTGACATCTCTTGGGATTTGAGAGGTTGACCCAGAGCTCTCTGCCTTACTTCTCTACCTTCATTGTAGGCACCTTCTGGGTGAGTTGAGCAGGGAGGGAGTTTTGCTGAGGGGAGATGGTGCTTTCTATTGACTTCAGATTTTAATCTTTGGTCAAGTTGTGTTTATATGTATATTGTTCTTCACATAAGGTACAACTGCCCATGCCAAATCACTAGAAAAGAGATGCTTTGACAAAATTATTCAGAAATTAATGTACTGAGTGGAATGTAGTAGCAGACACACAGACTGATGTGTGGCTCCTCCAGCTCTGATGGCTTGTCTGAGGCCCCCCTGGGACAGAAGGTTAGGAGCTCACATCAGAAGGCCAGGAGGCAGAGTCTCACGTGCAGGCTGCTCTCTGCTGTGGCGTCCCTTTCCCCCAGACCTGAGGCTTGTTTCTCAGATCCCACTTCTCCCTGCTGAGACTCTCGGTGCCCAATTACCACCTGAGAACTTCCTGGACTTTTTCTCTCCAGAAAAGCAATAATTTCCTTTCCTCTTTTCCCAGATCAACTCCTTATTACTGGCACCCCAAGATCCACATTTCTGGGACCCTGTTTTGCACAGTTAGAACATCAAAATCACAGCTAAAACTTAGGGACAGGAAGTTTTGTTGTTTTTTTCTTAAGTGAAAACTCGTATCAAGGATTTCAATTTGTTCTGCCCTTTGTGGAGTGGTGGCATGGTCCCTTCTTCCTGTGTTTGCTGGATGACTGGAAGGCGAGTCCACCTTGTCATTCATTCACTCATCTCTCACTTACTCACTCAACAAACATGTCTTAGACTTCTGTAAATCTGCTAGAGTAAAAGAGGTCACTGGTGTCTTAATTTCCTAAATCCCCTGGAATTCTAGTAGGGCTTCTGAGATCAATGAACAGGATGCTGACTGGGGGTTCAGAGGGTGCAGGCCACGCTGATTTTCCCTTAGCTTCAGTTTTCCCAAGGGCCCTGAGGTAATAATTCAGAGGATTCTGAGATTTAGAGACAACGCAGGCACAAGCCAAACAGGCCAGAAATTCAGAGGTTCTGTAGTCCTCACAGACAGGGTAAGTTGTTCAGTATCTGCAATACTTGGAGAGGATTCAAGAGGGACTTGAATTTCTCCATTTCAATATCCTCTTGTTTTCTCTCCTTTCCCGTAAGACACCTGTGAATAAGAGCGTTCCTCTGAGTCCCAGTGAGATAGTAAGCTGCATTTCATGTGATCTGAGTCCTTCTCGCCTCTGTAGGAGATGGGGCTCAAGACATTTAGATTAGTAATATGTTTTGTTTCTTCTTGCAGGGTTTTTCTGGTTTTGATGAGAAATGTTTCAGAAAGTATGGAAGATTTTGGGGGTGAGTATTCTGGAAACTTCCACTGGATAGACTTATTATGATGAAGCCCCTGTGGTGTGAACAGTCTCAGCCAAGAGCCCCTTGGGATGAAGCCTGCTGTAGTAAAGCTTCTGGACCCTCTGCCTCCTGGGATTCTGTGTCACCAGGTGTGCAGGTCTAAGTGTGAATCAGGCCTGGAGAGGTATAGTGTGGTGCTGGGCTGCTCACAGCCATGTTGTACCTCTCTGTACCTCTTTCTTTTCTCTGGTCACATCTTCAGAAACCATCGTCTCTGAATGGCATTGGCCATAAGCAATATGATGGCACAGAAAGAACCCAGATCTTTGGATCACCACTGATTCAGCTCCACTGCCCCTTCCCACATTCAGTCCTGGTCAGCTCTGGGTGGAGCCAGTCTTACATCGTGGGGCCAGTTCTGTCCTTAGTACGTGGTTCTCATGCTTGGCTGTGGGTAAGAATCACCTGGGAGAGCTTGTTCAAAATGCAGATTCTTGGTTTCCATCCCCCGGAATGCTGAATGTGGAGGATATGGGGTGGGTCCCAAGAATCTGAATTTAACTGGTAGTGGAAGCAATATTAGGGCTGTGTGAGATCATGAATATAAAGGGTTAGTGCAGAGGATTATAGGGGAGGGGAGGGAAAACTGAATGGGAAGAAATCAGAGATGGAGCCAAACCATGAGACTCTTGAGTCCGGGAAACCAACTGAGGGTTGTGGAAAGGGAGGTGGGTGGGGGGATGGGGTAACTGGATGATGGGCATTAAGGAGGGCACGTGATGTGATGAGTACTGGGTGTTATATGCAACTAATGAATCATTGAACACTACATCAAAAACTAATGATGTACTATATGTTGGCTAATTGAATTTAAAGAAAAAACAAGCTAAGGTAAAAGACATCCTAAAAAAAAGGGTTACCCTAAAGCACTGTCCCTTGTCCACCCACATGTTTTTGAAGAAACATGATGGGACAAGGGGAATCCTCCAATAAATATGATCAGGCTGCTGGCAGAGCAGACAGACCTAAGTGCTACCTCAGTAATTTCTATCACCGCTTCAACACTGAATATACTTGACCCCCACT